TTTTATTTAAAATAATATTTTTTTTTACACAACAACCATTATTTTTCAACTACCATTCCCAATTATCAATTTTCAACTCCCATTTTTTTTTTTTTTGGTGAGTGTTTGTATTTTATTTTGCTTATTTGCCTCATTAAAAATAAATAAAATATAAATTATATATTTGATTATATTATTAATAACTCTAAACCAAAAAACAAAATACTTTTATAGCAAATCTTTCTAAATCTTAATTGTGGATACAGAGTAAAAGCGATGAACAACTATATATATATATATGTGCGTGTATATATATAGAATTTAAGGTTATATATAGAGAGAGATGAAAATAGAAATTGGAAAGTAAATGGGGAAGTGGGTTTTGCACAGCAGATGTGTCAGCTGCTATAGTTTGTGCTATATTTGACATAAGATTTGACAAAGTTATATTTTGGTAGCCCATTTGACATGTCATTGGAGAGTCTATTTTAAACCTACCTGTTATATTTTAAAATTAACAATCCATTTAGCAGCCCATTAGAATTGCTTATTGACTTATTTTCATTCACTTGCTATATTTTGATTTTGACAGGTCAGGTTCTTAGTTTCAATTTCAATTACTTTTTTTAATAGCTCATTGGGACACATATGCCATACGAAATCGGAATTGAAAAAGTGACGAATAAAGTGGCCCATTAGCTCAGTTGGTTAGAGCGTCGTGCTAATAACGCGAAGGTCGCAGGTTCGAGACCTGCATGGGCCATTTAAATTTTTTTCTCTATTTTTTATTATTTATTTATTTTTTTTCACAAAATAGCTACATCTATAATCTACCAACCCCTCAGTTCAGTTTTCTCATCTTTCCTCCTCCGTCTCTATCAATGGCAACTGCTATTTTTAGGGTTTCGGTTTTGATTACTGTTGTTGTCATCCTCCTCCTCACAATCTTCTGCGAGTCATCCGACGCCATTGTCGCCGACAATCGTCGAGCGAGCTCAATGAGTGGTGGTTCGGATCGCAGTCTCTTGAGGAACAGTCGCATCCGAAACTGCAGCGAAATGGTAATCAAGTCTCAGTGCTATCAGAACTCCAAATGCCGATGGTGCCGGAGCGAGGTTCTCGATGACATGTGCTTCCCCAAGTCCGAGGCCTCGCGATTACCCACTCAGGTCTTCTCTTGCGATTAGCTTCTCTTACTCTCTGGTTTCATTTGAATCACCATACTTGGATATATTGGTGTTGTGTTTCGCTGATTTGTTAACTGGGTGATCTGAAAGTTGTGTACCGAGTCAGTTATGTGATATATGTGCTTTGTTGAACATGGATCCGATGAATTTCAGGGGAAAGAAAGAAATGTTTACTTTCCCCAAGTTTTCACGCAATTTCTTGATATATGCATAGATTTATTTCATTTGAATTGTTTTGGAATTTAAAGAATATTGCTTCCATTGTTGTAGATATATTCTGAGATTTCTTACAGATTATCTGAGACATTATTGTTACATAGAAAATGATGAGTTAGCTTGCATTTGGGGAGAAGCTGGAGAGTATTCTTAGGCAACTATTAGATTACTTCTAACACTGCTTGGTGCTATAAAATAGGGAAAAATAAAATTTGTGGATCATGTGGACATATTTTAGGAATAAAAATTTTAAGCTGCCAATGACTGACCTACCTACCATTAGCTTGTTTAATGAGGTACATAGTTGAAAGTGCACTTTATGTTGGGGAAGGATCTACATTAATGCAAGTTTAGGCTTCAGCTTATGCGGTTTTGAGAATTAAAGAGCTTCACGTTTTCGGGTTTTCATAATTGACTTTAGTCAACTGGTTGTGGGATTTTGGATTTTGGCTTTGGCTATGCAGTTTTTTCTTGGTATCCATGCTATGTTTGGTAAGAGGGAAAGATGGGGATAGGTGAGAAGATATGAAGGATGGGTTATGCTTCCATTATTTGACATAGGGAAGAGGGAGAGGTCAAGGATGGAAGGATCTCTCCCTGTCATCAAATTTGTTTCTATCTGAAATTGGATGGATGAGGAGTGAGAAAAAAAAATTATATTTGTTAGACAAAAATTGAAGATACTTTATTATCATTATTTATTAACACCAGTTTATATAATTAAGGATATTGTAGCAAAATGATATTCAAAACATTCTCTTTCTTCTCTCCTAGAAAATAATGGAATGTGTTCCGTCGTTACTTCCCTTCTCAATCAAACAAAAGGAGAGAAGGGTGCCTTCCCTTTGCTAAGGATGCTTCCGTTCTCTTCCCCTTCCCTTCCATCCAGTTTTCCGGACCAACTATCACGATCTAGACTTGGGTTTAAGGTGTCAATAAAATGGGGTTCTGGGGTTTATTGTTAAGCTTTAAATTTTTAGTTGATTCCAGGGATTTGCAGTACTGGGGTTTAGGATTCTAGGCAATCTAACATTTCATTTATTCAGGTGAGGTCTTAGTGCTTATATTTAAGTTAATTTAGGAAAGTATTCAATGAATGGGTGCCATGCTTGTAAAATGACAAACTAATAATTACTGCTCTCTTACAGAGATTTTCTCCTCTCTGAAGAGCTGTAGAAGTGGCAAGCACTGCTAGTCTCATCTATAGATAAGTCTTGCTTCACATCACTTTATAGATATGCTATTCTTTGACATGAAGGATATAGTAAAGGATTCGGGATGGCGGTAAAAGGTGGTAGACAGGAAACAGATGGACTACCATTATATGATCCCTTTCATTTTCATACGAATTTTAATATATAGATACAGAATGGTGGTTTTCAGTTGTGTATATGTGCATGGAAAAACCCAGTTCATAAAAGAAGTAAAATTAACTGATCTGGAGCATTTATGTGATGGAAGCCCAATTAATGGAATTTTGGAAGCATTAGAAGTAACTTGCCTGGAGTGTTGAGAAAAAGTCTTTCAGTTTCCCGATTTTATGGTTTGAACTCATGGAGAAAGCAGAGGGATGTCATGTCAAGTGAATTGCAGAGTTGATGGATCACTCTGGCAGCAGGTATAGTTGATTAAATGGATAAGCCCAATAGCAAAAGATGGTGGAATGAATTTACACGTTTTTTCCATTGAGAAAAGGAATGCTGCCCACAATGCCCAATTTTCTGATTTCATGAGAGGACTGAAATGACCAACATCTTTGATAGTTATCAGGTCGCAAATTTTAAATATCTTATGTAAAGACCATCTTAGTTGGAGTAATTGGAAACTCTAGTTCTGAGTTAAATTTGTTTCTTATGGAGATGTTTAGCAATCTTTTCTGAACCAGAGTGAAGCTCCTGGGGAGATATATTGGCAATTTATCACTCTTGTCTCTTGTGCTGTTAGGTATGGTTTAGTCCCATACAGTTATTTACGATACTTTAGGTTATTTTTTTTCAGGTTGTTAAAGCTATTGTTATATGGGGCAAACAGTGACCTTTCTGGCTTTATCAACACCATTAATATATAGAGCTTCAGTAAGAAACAGTGGCCTTTTATTACTATGTAGGAAGAAACAGTTCTGTTTCTGGCAACTTCTAATCGATATCAGATGCTCTGTAGTGTCTCAAAGCTGGTTACAGTTTCATCGAGATCTGGTGAAGTGAGAGATTCAGAAGGAGCAACATCTTCTCAACCTGGAAATTGACGAAAGGCTAGATTGTAGTTGTGTTTCAACTTCAGTGGAGCATTTATTTATATATTTATTTTTGGGTAAGGAACTTCAATGGAGCATGGTAAATGGAAAATAAATAGCAGAGGCCTGTAGTCAGAGGTTGTCAATGATAACTCAATATTAATGCTTTCAGGAGTTGGGAGTTATTTCCTATTTAAATGAAGGCAAAGGCCAGTGTATAGGAAAACTAACTTGCAGAAGGTTCCAGCACAAAGGTGCCGTTTTGATGCAAAATTTTCCTGTGCTTGAGCCTTGAACATAACAATATGTCATTGATAAGAAATTCAGTCCAAGTTTATTGCAATGATGGTCTTTCCATAAACCAACCAAGGGTTATTGTAAATTCTCCCTGCTGCCTCTCACTTTATCACCCAAAAGAAAACCTTACTTGTTTATTGTGTTCCTTTGATTGGTGCATTTGGATGGGCTGTAAGTCTGTAAGTTACTAGAGTGATTTACAAAGGTAATGTGTGGAAGGACCATGTGAAGATTTTGAATCCCAATGTTTAGGTGTTTTCTTTGTGATTATATTGGTTCTTCACATCCAGTATCCTTCCAAAATGATTGACTTGAGCAGCTATGGGTACATGTGTTATTTGATGCATCTTTAGTTAAGTGATATAAATGACAAGGAAAACAAAATCCTTCACCCCTTTCTTTTTAATCTATGATTCTTATCTCCAGTATATAAATTCATGCTCAAGGATCACACCCTTTAAACTTGAATCAAATGTATTCTCAAATCTGTGAATTTGATCATTGTTAGAAATTAGCCTGGGTTTCATTTATGTGAAGCAGGTGCTTGTAGAAGTCTACCTATTAAAGTTAATGAAAAAAAAAAATTGGTAAGCTTGCTTAATGTATAGAATCATGAGTGGTTAAGATGTTACCCTATAATCATGAAATGTACGAGTAACTTGGGGAAAATTTTAACTTAAATTGAGTGCATTTACACACAGTCAAAGGTCATGATAGAAGGCACAAGTAGAAAGACTTGGCTGGTGTGGTTTAACTTTCGTGCAGGGAACATCAGAGTGCTTGATTAAGAGGTAAGATGAATTAACCGCAATTATTGGGGAAGTGTTCTTTGGCAATACATTATGATCGGAAAAAGAATAAAGGCGCTACTGAAAATATGTAGGATAATACATGATGGATAACATATAATTAAATTGTTAATGTATTCTTAGATGGAATTTCCCATAAGGTGCAAGAAAACATGAGCTTAAAAGATTGTTAGGGAATAGTTTGGAAAAATAGAGGAAAAATACATGAAGTTTGTTATAGGGTTTTGTACTAGTGAGAAAAGTACATAATATTCATCAGCAAAAATGACGTGGGCTATTCTCATTACATCATAACCTAAAAATCCATACTACTGGTTGCATACCTGCATACTGTGGTTTCTCCTTGGTTCCGCAAAATGATCCCTTGCTTTTCTTCTACTTTTTCCCGAGAAAAATCTTAACATATCTCACTTGCTAAAACATTCCAAAACACTGTCAACTTGCACCCACGCTCAAATTTGGGCAATGTGAAAAATTGTTGTAGAACCACAGCAACATATAGAGGACAGAGCAAAAACAAAAATGAACAAGTTACATATGATATTTCCTTTTTTTTTTTTTTTTTTGTCCTTTCTCATTTGAGATCGAACCTGGTTTGATTGACCCAGTATTTTTCATGAAAATTGGGGGAAAAAGAAACAGGAATCTAACTTCTTGTTTTCCTCAGCAAGATAATGCTTAACAGCATCCCTCATATCTTCAAAGCAATGAGAGCCCTCAAAAAAGTCAATCAGCCTCCTTAGCTCCACATCCCCGGTATCATCTGTAAATGGGCGTATTGGAATTCCATTTTGTGGCTGGAAACCATAGGAATTTGGATTGTCATCAACTATCACCACACTCTTCAAATTCCTCCCCAACTGAGACAAGTCCTTCACAAACTTCCCATCCACTTCTGTGCACGAATTACGATAAAGCCGGTGCGAAATCACACCCTTCTGGTCTATCCTTCTCAGCACCAGCGATGCATATTCCTCAATTCCAGCTGTGAACACAACAATTTCGAATTTTCTGCTTAGTGCTTCAAGTAATTCCTTGACAAAGGGACGTTTCAACACATAGAAATTCATTTTTCTTCCATTGATCACAGGTCTGACCACAAAATCGTACTTCTCCGGTGCAGGGTCAGACTTGGAATGAACCAGAGTCTCGTCGAGATCAAGTATAACTGTCTTCTTTTCCGGCCACATTGTTGGCAGGAGGCCATTGTCAAATAACTGGCATGAATGTGTTGTATCATCTTCAGGGGCTTTCTTCAGATATTGGTAACCTTGTTTTTGAGGATTTTTTGACGTGCCAAAGCGGGCGAGTTTTGAGAAGATCTTGATGAGGCGGCGGCAGGCACGGATAGATTTCTTGATAGATGTGAGGACAATGGAGGAGGCGGTGGAGGTGACCCTCTTGATTGAAGAATTTTTTCTTCTGCGGCCGCAACAGCGGCTTCGCGGGTCTTTGATGGTCTTTTTCTTGATGATCTTGGACACCATTCTAGTTTCTTTTGCTCAACACAAAAATGGGGGGAGAGAGGTTTAGGGGGTGGTTAAAGCGGTTTCAGAGAATGAGGGTGGAGAGAGGTTTGCACAGGCTGTCCTGAGTTGGAAGTTTTGAAATTTGGTTTGGCAATAACGGTCGGTTCGTAGCCGAACTTAGAAAGTTGCTAACTACGTTCTTAATCTTAGGTGTGTCATTACTTTGTTACGTGGCTTTTTCATAAAAAATAGAATAGAAAAAGGGTGAAAACATAAACAATGGCTGGTGTTGAAGGACACAGTTGGCTCAACTCAAAACAATTTGGCTTGGCTCTTCTATTTTTAGTTAGTTAATATTTAACTTTGAATCATTTTGCAAAGAGGGTGAAATTAGAGTCTATTCAGTACTAACCCCTCTTAAGCTGTGCAGAAGATAAATGATTGTTGTTTTTGAAAGAACGTATTAAAATCGGAATCCGAGAAAATTTAGTTTAAAATTGGACTTATTATTATTATTTTTTTTCTCAATTCTAAATTTCTGAATGGTATTCCTTGCTCAAATGATATGCAATTTGTGGCCTTCTTGTAGGCCACAAATTGGGAAGAAAGAAAAAAGAGGAGGTTTTTTTTTTTTTCTTGTTGGGTATTGTAAATTTGTAATGCATACTATTAGAAATTTACCTCTCACAAATCTTTGTATGAATTTCAATGTAAAGGTTTTATCGTGTTGAGATTTTTCTTGTCAATATGTTTATTAAAATTGTGAGTTTGGATATAAAAAGCTTTTTTTAAAAAAAAAATTATACTCAATACTATTAGAAAAGCTTCAATTAAAAAATTAATTAGATATTGTACATCTCAAAAGGTAAAAAGAATAGTTTTTAAACAAGAATTATTGATACGATTCCTAGGGATAAATTTTCGTCTTAGATCTCAAATTACATTAATCGGCTCCCTTGTTTTCTCCCCCATAAGGAATCTACAGGGAGTGCTTTTACTTTTTTATTGTAGCAGTTCATTTTACAATGCTTTTGTTGATAAAAATCTCATGGTATCACCCACCGTTATATATATATATATATATATATATATTGTGTAAATTTGATATGTCATGATAAATTTACACAAAAATTTTAAATTATTAATTTTTAACTCCAGTTATAGTTTTATATCTTTTGTATAAAAATATATACTCTAATAACAACCAATCATGTGTCATGTCAGGATCTCACATAATTTTTACTAACTTACTTAATATATGGTTGATTCTAAAGGAATGAGAAAGAGGGAGGAGAAAGGAAATATGCTGATGTGGATGTGTAAAAAGATTGAGTAAAATACACAATAATTTTACACATTGGTGACGTGGTAGTCTATTTTAATAGATTGCTGGAGATAAAAAAAAAAAATTACACATCATACATGACCGTCTATATTTTACACAAAATGATATCATATTTTAATAGATTATTGGAGATACTTTTAGGACTAGTTTGGTGTGGTGGAATGAATTAAAATTAAATGAGAATGGAGGTGGGAATAGAATGAGAATGGAATGGAATGGTCATTCCTTTTGTTCGAAGGTGTAATGATTTTGATAGAATGATTATTCTCCAAGAATAGTGGGAAACGAAGATTTCAACTTTAAAATTGATACCAAATACGAGAATGGAAAAAAAACTCATTCCATTCCACTTTCTTTTATTTCAAATTAACCCTTATAGTATTAAATGTTAGCAAGAGAGATCAGATGTCCTGGATCAGAGGCACTAATTTTTTTTTCCAAAAGTTAACTGGATAATTATTTTGAGGTATATGATTAAAACTTGAATGGACGCTGAATAAACAAAATGGGCCCGCGCGGACTCCATAAAAAAAATTTAATGGGTCAATGCGATCTCTATATAAAAATTTTAATGGGTCCATGTGGGCTCCGTATAAAAATTTTAATGGGCCCATGCGGGCTCCGTCCAGTTTAATGATTGTTGGAATTTTTCCGATACAATGTCAAAGCTCATTCTCTCTATATGTTTACAATAATATATAATTTCTCTCTTCTTCTTTTTGTTTTTCAGTAAATGAAAAATGTAAGAATCCTTTCAAATATAACAAATGTTTTTTCATTTTTTTTTTTAATTTAAAAGTTATAACACATGGAAGATTATCACTTTTAATTGTATATACGCATGCACACGCTCACAACGTTTTTTTTGGGACTTCAACATTTGATGTTTGAATTGAAAAGTAGAGAATATATGATTAAACTCTTGATAGATTTTTTTATTATTATTTTAACTATAGTTGTAAAATCTTTGTATATATGTATTTATTTAGCCTATTAAGATTTGTTTAATTAATGCACGTTATTTGTGGTAATTAATCACATATATTTTAATCCTTTTGAGTTTAATTAATGGACGTGATTGCGGTAATCAGAATCACATGCAACAACAAAAAGTATTGAGTTGAAATGTGGAGGACAAATCCAAAAAAACTAAAGCTAGTTTAAAAAATAAAAAAACGGCAAATGAATAAACGCAGCACAAAGCAGTTGTTAGAGTCAACGTCCACATTATTTAGTAATCAATCACCACAAACACACATTTTCTTCGTGATGGACAAAAAAAAAAACAAAGAAGGAAAAGTCTGTCCACGAGAGTCGTTGCCTACCACTTGCATGAAAGCAACAACCCAAAAGTACCACATGAATCATGGGAGACTACATCGAAGTTTTCCTTTTACTTTTACTTTTATTTTTATTTTTATTTTTATTTATATATATATATAGTGTCTAAACTCCCTATTAATATGTTCCCTATATGTTCTTAAAAATTCTTAATTTTTATTTTTGGTGCGAACAAGCCTGTTGTCGGTTAAAAGACTAATCCAGTCATGTTTATATATATATATATAACTGGATTAGAGGAGATAGATTGTGAAAAGAGTTATTTTAAAACAATTTGAAGAAACGAATAATAAATTAAGCATCCATTCAAAAAAAAAAAAAAAAAAAAAAAAAAAACCACAATAAATTAAGCATGCATTGGTTGATGACATAATGACACTGTTAGTGGTGGGGGGTCGGATATCGCACGCCAGTTGAATTTATGTAGTGCATCCGCATGTGCGCTGAATGTAATGTAATGTTTAGTTTAGTTTGTTGGTTGGGTTTCATCATTTAACTAATTCCATTCTTCTAAACACTACCATTTTTAACTTTTATGCCTATTGGTGAGTCAAAATTTGTACTTTCCGCTCCAAGTTTATCATAATATATATAGAGAAAAGTGCAAAAAAGAAAATAAAAATTTCCTATACTATTGGAAAACTTATAACTAACCCTTTAAATTATCAAAATTACAAAAAATCTACTGAACAATACAAATTTGTTGCAAATCACTCAATCCATCACTGTTCTAGTCAGATCTATCACTATTCTGGTCGAATCTTACCATTAAAGTGACGACGTCATATACACTATAATTTTAATGACCATAATACCCTCATGAGATTGAAAAAACACTCAAGCTCCTTATTATTGTAACAATTAAACCTAAACACCCCTTTAAACACCCCAAACACGCCCTTATGTATATATATACACACACAGATATATATGGTGGAAAGAAAAAAAAAAAAAAATTTCATGTTCAATGTAGAACTTTATTTGTGTTTGTTGTGGAACTAAAAAAAATCAAAATTGGAATTGAAATTTTAAGACTTTCGTAGACGGAAGCACACCGTCATTATTGGTGTCAATGTAGGGACGCAGAAATCGACGTGAAATTCTGGCGGCGGTGGTGTTAATTAAATTTACAAAATTCTTAACCATCGCCAAACCTAAACGCAAAGAACCAGCAGTGAAGTTCATGGCGACCCAGCAGTTTCAGCGTACTCCAAGTGCAGAGCTTCATCAAACCCATTTCTTATGTTCAGTGAGTAGAGATTGCATCGGCGGTGGAGATTTACCCCTGGGTCCGGTCGTAAAGACGAACATCTGTCGGTCTTTGTTTGGACATGTGGAGCGGTCGGCGATGAAGTTGAGGCCGACGATGTGCAACGTGAAAGAATAATTAATGGACAAGAGCCGCCAAGGTTTGGCCACACAGGCGCAGCCGAGAACAGGTGCGACAATGAAGCTGCGGCAGAAGGTAGCGAAGAAGAAAGTGACGCGTGCGCGCGTGAAGAGAGCGTTAGACCCACGCGCAGTGGCGCGTGGGTGCGTGAGGCGTGAGTTATACGACGGCGGTTTGTTTTACGGACCTCTAAATCATCTTCTTTTGTGTTGCCGACGTTGTATGCCTTCATGCTACCGATGATGATTTTTGGGCTCCTTTTGTTGCCTTGGTCGTGGTGGTTTCGTCTGCCATGATGCCTCTCTGGCTCTCTCGTCTTGGCGGTGAACTTGCGGCAGTGCTCGGAACATGGACGACAACGAATCAGCAATTAAAGAAGTCGCGATTTCGATGATGGGCTGTTATGAAGAAGCTTGACCATGATTGGGTTTGATGGCAGCCGGCGAATGGCTGTGAGCTTGGCTTCAGATGATGGCGGCCGGTGGTGGAGTGGACGGCTGTGGAGAGGACGGTTGAGTGAACTCAGCCGCGATGGGGCGGTTCGCGGCGTGATGGCAGCATTGAGTTATCTCTTGGGTCGCGATTGGCAGAACCCTATCTCAAAATTCTGCTATAGTGAACTTTAAGTGTTGAAAACTTGAAACTACATCGTTTATTTTAAGGGCATATTTGTCTTTTGGATTTTTCAGCAACGACAATTGACCTGATGGATTTAAAGGGCATATTTGTCTTTTGGATTTCACCTGATGGATTTAATTGCAACCAAATTAAATTTCAAGGGGTTTTTTTTTGTAGTTCAGGGGTAACTTGCAAAAGCCCCATAGTTTAGGGGTTTTATGCACTTTTCTCTAATATATACTCTCTTTATCTCAAAAACAAATGTCATGCTTTTCTTTTTGATCTGTCCCAAAATAATTGTCACTTTTCTTTTTCAAATAATATATTTTACATCTTTTTTGGAGACTTAGAAAGGCAAATTAGTAACTTTCTAAGGAGAGAAGGCACGTCCCACATGTTTACTTAAAAATTCGTACTCCCAAAAAGTGACATCTAAACTGGAACAGAGGGAGTATATATATATATATATATGTTTGAGGTTTACTGGATATGAATGGTTAGGGAACGTTTTCTGGTGTAAAAGAAGGAAAAACAAAGAAACAATTTGGCATATAGCATATGACAGATAATTTGAGAACAAAAAATTCTATGAAATATTAATAACTGAACAATGTTCACAAAAATTGTGCCATTTATCATAAATTCTATCCCATAAGAAAACCCTGGACCAATTCTTCTAGACCCGAATAGACACCATAACCACTTTAAGTGGGAGTCGATTTGGCCCAATTAACAAAACTTTAAAATTGATGTACAGTCTACATAATAGTACGAATAAACTAGGTTAAATAAAAAATTATGTCATTTATAAAAGTGGCCTTTTAATATCTTATATATATATATATAGTTAATCCAATTAATCTTTCTTATTAAATAATTGATCTTAAAGTTATATAACTTATACTTAATGAAAAATGAGAAAAAATATGTTAGAAATAAGAAGGAAAAAAAAAAAACAAAGAAAATAAAAGTTAAAATAAGAATATAGAAAATTCTACAAAATATGAAGAAAAAAGAAACGTGAATGGGGAGCTGAGAGAAAGAAAAAAGAGGTAAAATAAAGATAGAAATCTTTTGGCCCCTATTAACCTTTATTGGTTAGGGTTTAATAATCAATACAAATAAAAATTTTAAGGAGGTTTTAATATAAGGAAATTAAAAAAAAAAAGGGACATTTCTATTAGGCAGAGTTTAATAATAAGAAGGAAATAACATTTGTACAAAGGTTATAATATAAACAAATAATTTTTTTTAAAAGTTATAATATAAAGAAATACAAATTTTGGGTTTTTATATTGGCTGGAGTGATAATAGGAAGGAAATAAAAATTTTAAGAAGGATATAATATGTTAAAATAAAAAAATTTAAAGCCTTCTTATTGGCTGAGCCTTATGCAATCGCTTAAGTCGCCTAAAGGTCTAGCCCCCCCCCCGCCTTGGACCAATTCTTCTCGACCCGAATAGACACCGTAACCACTCTATGTGGGAGTCAATTCGGTCCACTTAACAAAATTTAAAATTAATGTACAATCTACATAATAGTAGGAATAAACTATCCCACAAGAAAACCTTAGACCAATTCTTCTACACCCGAATAGACACATAACCCCTTTAAAATTGACGTACAAATAAATAATAGTACGAATAAACTAGGTCAAATAAGAAATTGCTTTGCTCTAATTAAATATGTGGGAACCAAATGGTTTCCCACCATACATTTTCCGATGTCACTGTATATACCCATAATGCATGGAGGAATCTAAGACAAAAAAAATAAAAGCTATATTAGACTTTGGATCTATACCATCTCCATATTTCATCTTTAAACATAAACAACAATCTTTTTTTTCTTTTTCTTTTTTGTCTTTTCCCAATTGTACGTGGGCCGCATAATGTATTACGGGCCTCCTGGGCCCTGACATGGTAGACCATTAAAACTGACCGGTACCATTATTATGTACTTGCTACTTTAGAACAACAGAACTGATCTACCTACCTTTCCACAAAATAATAATAATATAGTATAATATAATATATATGTAATCTAGAATTGGAGGAAGTTTTAAAACTTTGGCAGCCATCATGAATATAATTTAGAACCATACATCGTATACCATATTGCCTCTCTAGAACTGTTTCGTAAAGGAGAGCATAAGTTCCATTTTTTTAAAAAAAAAAATCCGAAAAATAATATTTTAATGACAGACCAATTGCTAATAAACGTTCATTTAAATTTAGAGAAAGTTTAATACAAATCTTGAGCCAAATTCTTTCAACAGGCTCCCAAATATAACATGAGTGTAATTATTGTATCATTCAAGATTATTAATTAGGGGAGGGTTAAACTACTGTATATAAGAAGCTTTCCATAAACGTACAGCAAGCAATGGATAAAGTACAAAACTTTGTCCTCTTTCTCATGACCATCGACAACCATTCATTGCATTTTTTTTTTTTTTTTTAATTCATAGGAATCAGCTCATTCTTAGAGAATTAAATCTCAATTACAATGTCACATACGTATAGAAGAATAAAAAAAGTTTCAAATTCTTTATTTTGCGGAATCTACTATACTAATTGCTCGTCTGTCGACGTATCAGATTAATCATAATAAATATCACTAGTGGATTATCGAAATGAATGTTTCAATTCATATCTTAATTATTTCAATTTCGGTCTATTCGGATCTCAAATCTTATAGGTGGAGTGAAGAGTTACTAATATATAAGATGGTGTGCATTATATAACTATACAAAATGTTAAGCTAATGGTTACCGAATTCAAATCGTTGTAAAATTTTGAATTTGTTATTTAATTCATACTCAGGATAATCGGATGGGACTTGCTATGAGTCCTATCCGAATGGCCCCTCTGAAAATAATACTGGTAATTGGTAAAGCTTCACTAGGAGTGAGTGAACTTAATTGGTGGATTGAAGTAACATTACGACTGACTTTATTAAAGACATTCATGTCTTTCCGTTTTTCCGGTGGGTTGCTGAAGCAGCCTTCAATGCCTTTTCTTTGTTCACATTTTGGGATTTTAAAAGCACACAAACCTCTCTTTTCAACGATATCTACCACAGTAACAAAAAAATTAAATAGTATTTCCTAAAAGAAAAAAAATGGATATGAAGAGAAAATAAAGAGAGGTCATGGGTTAAACGCTTTCACATATCTGAACTGGTCCAAATGTCTCTCTTTCTCCCCCTCTATATATTATTATGTGCGGGCTCTATCCAGATGTGCACAAGTTTTGTGGTACTCTTGTTCACTCCACGGTGAAACACCAATCTCTAGAATCCTCTCTCTAGAATATTGTGATATATAAAAGTGATGGCTGAGATATCAGGAGCAAATGGTAACCATGGAGTGGTTTTGAATATTAAAGATGGTGATCACGTCAATCACAACCTTCCTGCCCCAGCATCCACAAAGGATGGACACTCCCGAGGCAGCAGCAGCTTTTTTACTATATCTTTCATGCAAAAGGTGATCCTTCTTTTCATTTTGCTTTGCTTTTCATATTATTCAACAATCATATATACGTAGTACTTAATTTGCACACTAATTTATTATAAACCTAAGGAATTCAAAATATCTTAATTAGATAAGAATATGTAGCTGGTCTATAGTCTAGTCTTGTCTTAGACAAGTTAGAGTTTTTCTTTCATTTTCTCCATAACCAAACATCAAAACATGAATGAATTGTTTTGATTTCTTCTTTTCCTTGACTTTATTGGCAAATTAATGGAGTAACACCGTATTTTTATTTGATTGAATTCAATCTACTAGTCAAAGTTCTCATAAGTGAATCGCTTGTTTGTTGGATACAGTTGATAGCGGAGCTGTTGGGTACTTACTTCTTGATATTTGCCGGCTGCGCCGCGGTGGTGGTGAATTCCGATAAGGACAAGGTGGTGTCACACTCGGGAGTATCAATCGTCTGGGGACTGGTTGTGATGGTAATGGTGTACTCTGTTGGCCACATCTCCGGTGCCCATTTTAACCCCGCTGTCACCATTGCCTTCGCCACCTGCAAAAGGTTTCCATTGAAACAGGTACATCACATCCCATCACATCTCTTCAAAGAAACACCAAAGCTAACTAGCCCTTAAGACTAATTTGGGACCACATGGGTAAATGTCAGGTTAGGGACAGCTCAATCTAATTTTGGCCTTACGTGAAAAATTAAAAAAAAATAACTTTTTCAATAATATAAATAAAATTAGCCACAACTTAAAAACAAAATATACAAATATATATACATACAAATTTATAATATCAAAAGTTAATAAAATTTAAAAATAATTAAAAAAAAAATTATTAAACTTGATTTAGAAAACCTAAATTCAATACTTTTACAAAATTTTTAATAGAATAAAAAATCGTTCATAACAACTGTAAACTTGTAATGAGAATGGGAGGAGAAGACTGGTTGAAAAGAAGAAAATAAAACATAAAAAAATATATATATATAGAAAGTTTTTGCCATTATCTCAAACAACAACGTTAAATAAATATTTAATATTTTACTGTTGGTATAACTTATCTAAAAATGTTTTTGAGAGAGAAAGAAAGAGGAAAAAAAAAAAATTTAATGATACAAATTTTTGGGTCTAATTTTAAATTTCTATATTGGTTAGGATTTATTGTAAAACCTGAATGAGAGTAGAAAAAGGGAAGGAAAAAAAGTTATATAAGGATGTAAATCTTTGGGGGTCAATATTAAATTTATATATCAATTAGAGTTCAACGGAATATGGAAGGAGAGAGAAAAGAGAAAAAAAGAAGAAGTTATTTTAGGATATAAATATTTGAGGCCTAATTTAAAATCGGAAAGCCAGTGGAAGAGACAAAAAGTTTATTTTAGGATATAAATCTTTGAGGCTTAATATAAAATTTTTATATTTATTACAGTTTAACAATATTAGAAAATAATTATAAGATAACTTAATATAAAAATTTTTTAAAATTTTGGATCCTTTCTATTGGCTAGGCCTTAGGCGCCTAAAGTTCGAACCAGCCCTGTGCCAAGTTAAAACTACCCGGTGTTGAATGGTATGGCATAAGTCTTACCACGAATTGATCTGATTCAATTATTATATTAATAGGTCAATTATTATAACCAACTCTTAAGACTAATTTGCGACCACACTGGTAATGTCAGATTAAAATTGTCCAGAATTGAATGACATGGCATGGGGCGTAGATCTTGCCGCGAACTGACTTCTATTGTCCCCTATTGTCATTGTCCTTTACATTTCAACAAATATAAATTATATAATTGAGCAATGATCTTCTACTTTGTAGTAACGATGAACTAGACAATAGGAATGGATATATTCTTGCCTGCTAGATGTATTAATACGTCGTTTTAGTATTTTAATGAATTTAAGGCGCCAAAACATGTCACGCCTAAACCACTCTCTCATGTACCAGTTTGTCAATGATTCTAGATGGGTTGTTCCTTAGATGTTCATTTCTTGCATGTTGTCCTAATAATGTTCAACCACAGGTGCCAGCCTATGTATCTGCTCAAGTCATTGGATCAACTCTGGCAAGCGGAACCCTCCGGCTAATATTTAGCGGGGGGCAGAATCATTTCGCCGGCACACTTCCGGACGGGTCGGACATGCAATCTTTCGCCTTGGAGTTCATAATCACATTCTACCTCATGTTTGTCATATCTGGTGTCGCCACAGATAATCGAGCTGTTAGTACTCTTCTCTCTTCAATGATTCATTCAATTTTCAAACCTAAATATATAATACTAATATTAATATATATATATATATATAGGATATGAGAATTGGATGGTTTACTTGCCAACGCTTTAACCAGTATTAATAAATATGAATTAATCTTGACTAATAAATACATGCCTAAATGTTCAAGAAACATTTATGACATTGACTTATTTTGTTTGTTGGTGCAGATTGGAGAACTTGCTGGACTTGCTGTTGGGTCTACAGTTCTGCTAAATGTCATGCTCGCAGGGTATTAAATTCTCTCTTTTTTTTTTTAATCTTATTGCAATGCCCACCTAAACTTCGATCACAGGACCGGACCATTGGAATGTCCTAACTTGACGTCTTGAACCATTAATCTTCGAAAAATGACATGTAGTTCGATATTCAGAGTTCAAACAAATCTAACTATTTTTTGTTAGTGAGGCACATACCATTGTATCTCTACTTTGAACCATTAATTTTTGAAAAATAATGTGTAATTTGATAGTCGGACTAATTTGACTATTTTATGCGAGTGAAGACTGATAATGAGATCAGTCCTATCATGTCATCATAGAATCAACTCCTACTCACAAGAAGAAGTCCAGAGTTGTCTGATTATCTAACTCCTTGTCATGACTCTTTAATCTTTGGATTTCAAAGGTGAGAGTATGCCTCTAGATTGTACTGACATTTCGGTTGACAGGCCAATTTCAGGAGCATCGATGAATCCAGCAAGAAGTTTGGGGCCAGCAATTGTGTGGAACCAATACAGGGGTATATGGATATACCTAGTGGCAACAACCTGTGGGGCCATAGCAGGTGCTTGGGTCTACAATATCATCAGGTTCACCAACAAGCCCCTCCGTGAAATCACCAAGACTGGCTCTTTCCTCAAGAGCGTCAAAAGCAACGGATCGAATGTGTTGCATCCTGCTGAGAGCCTTTAGTGGAAGCAAGCAAAATTTATGATACGCATATTCATGGGTTGAAATATCAAGTACGGTAAGTGTGGCACTTGGTGCATGTATACTGAGATGAAGATGAAGGAACATGAACTCTTTCTTATGTTTAATTGTAATTCCATAAACAAGAATAATTTCTAGACTGTGACTGCTTTAGCAACACACAACATTCGCAACTATTTGTAATGTTCAATTGAGGTAACATGAATTCTAGAGGGTACACATACCTACCTGTCCTGAAATTGTTCAACAGTTGAACTTGCATGATCCCATTCCATCAGCACAATTGTGCTGTATGCATTGATTGGTGAAAAAAAACACACACAAAATTCAAGATAGCATGCATAATTTAACATAAAATGATTAAAAAATATAAAAAAAAACATATGATAGTTTCCTTCAAAATTAATCGAGAAATATTACTGCATACCTAGTCAAATGCCATGTGGAGAGGAACCCCTATTTTATGTTCTTGCAATCAAAATATCTCGCGTGCTACAGAGATCCGAAACGAAGGGATATAGTACACAAGTTCAAGTGATATGGTTGCTATTCACACAAGTGCCCTAACCCAATCTTTAGTGCCATCCAACAGATAATACCAACAGTCTCTGCAACATCTTATGGTTTTTTTGCGGGGCAGAGGGGTGTTAAGCCTAAATAGGCATCATGCACATAATTGGTCATTCAAACACCGGACTTGCAACAAGCTAAACAAATGGACAAGGTACTTGGAGTTGGTGATATAATTATTAGCCACATATATCCCTCAAAGACAATATACAGGCCATATTAGCCAGCCTACTGAATGCGGCCACTTGTGCACATTTACCTTAATAAAAAGTGATGAGCGTATAATACAGGTGGTTTATCTCCAGGTGACAAAGGATTTCATTGAGTTACATCATCACTGACTTCTATTATCTATTTACCGAGTTTATCAATGCAAAACATACAATTAGACACGCACAGGAAATTAAGGAAAAAGAAATTTTTTTTTTTTTTTTTTGACCTATCAAATCACCCAATGATCCCATGGCATTTGGTCGAGGCAAGTTACAATCATTACTTTGCGCTTTCAGAAGGACCCAACAATAAATGCAACAAAACGCACCACTACACACGAAATCCCAAAGCAGTCATAGCTAGGGCCCACCCAAATCTAGAAGAAAGTCTTGCTTCCGGAACACGTTTTCATGACGTCAACCATGACGTCATGGTTTTCCAACCGACACAATGGCCGCCTACCGATGAATCCAACAATCACGACACAGCAGGCACCATAAGCATCAACCACCTGCAAATGAAACAGGATAAACAAAGGCAGCCGCAACCTTGAATCCATCCAGCAAGACAACCTCCAATAATGATCGAGCAAAGATATCCACCGTAGGGCATAGAAAAGAGAAAGATCCTTTTGCAACGTGGACAGTAGAAACAAGTTGACACTAGATTTGTGGCGACAAACACCTGGGTCAAAAGGGAAAATCTGTGGAAATGGATATGGACCCATCCAATTGTCACCGAGCAAAACTCCCGGTCCAACATACCGTTGAAACCAGGAACCTACCCAACCCGACCACCCACAGAACCAGCGAATTGGAGACTGAAGGGAAGAAAACTCAACCAAAAACAACATGGAAAAAACAAAAAACTCTGATGAACAGAGAAACCTCTACTGGGAGAGGAAGAACAAACAAAAACTCATCAGAGAACCAACAAAAAGGAGGGGCAAAAATTGATCGGGATTCAGGAAGGAGAGGGGAAGAGTAGATTGAAAATAGATGTTTCTCTCTCTATAAGTTAGAGAGAGAGGCTCCTTTTCCCCTCTCCCATTGCCAAGGAGTAGGATACACAATTAAGGAAAAAGAATTGCAAGTGCCATGCTCGCGTCAATAATATAGCTGTAAATAGGAAAAATGAAATAAATAAATAATAAGATTAAAGCAACACTACAAGCAAATATGTCCACATAACATTTTTGAACTCCCCAGAATCTCCTCATGGCAATCCACCTTGTATATGAAAATTTGGTACTAGTGCTATTCATTTTTTGTCCATAGATAGTCATGATTTTGATCTTTTGAAGCACAGTTACCTTGGAATGGCAAGAGTTGAGAGTCTAATACTTCTTGTATACTTTATGATGCCATTTAGGGGTAATTTTTAAATTTCGATATCATGCTTGCCTTTGTGGTCTACATCATCTTACTTGTTGAAAATGCTTTGAGAGTTGATTCTAGTGTATTATATTTGCACAGGCGCACACTAGCATTCAATTTGTGAAGTACATACTTAGTTGATTATTGTTTTTATTTTATCCCATTTGAGCTAATAGGCTTTGAAAAGTCATCATTTTTAATAAAATGACTTTACAAATGACAAACCATTTTCATCAAGTAATTGGGATTCGTGCCTTATTAAGCATTGATTCTCTTGTCAAAAGGCGAAGGGCCAAAAAAAAAAAAAAAAAAACAATGATGAGTATTTCACGAAAAGAGGTGTGAAATGAAAAGTGAGAGTTGATTTGATTTATAACCTAGTTGATTTGAGCTTTTAAGTCCTTAGGGGTGTCTTTACACTTAATGTCCTACAGCAGTCCAGTTTGGGAGTCATTGACCTAACGCTCGTTAAATGGATCTTTTAGAAAGTTTAAGAGATCTTTACATTGCACTATACTCTTATCTTCGATCCCATTTTGAAAAATAAATAAATAAATAAATTTGTTATTCAATTGAATAAAAAGGTTCATTTAATGTCTTGATAATTGATATTTAAGATGTGTGCTAGTTTGAGGCTGGATTATGATATTTACATTAATTTTGCTAAGATAGCAACATATTTTGATACCGGTTCACTAAAAAAGGATGCTAGAATTGATTTGTTTGCATGATTGACTTGTTTGATGTGTGGGGACTATATTTGCTTGTATGATGTTGAAATGTCGAGAATAGCTTAGAAATGGCTGAAATTTGCATACTTGAAGTAGTTTTCTTCCGATCCTTGCTTGATATGTGTCATTACTTCTTAAGTGAGAAAGAGCCTTTGATGTTTGTGGGTATCTTTTTTGGAAACCCTCACGAGACTTCAGTCGTCCACTAGGAGTAACCTAGGGGTTGAAAAGGCTTGTTGCATATGCTAAATGCAACCGTGATCCCTACGAAAACGGCGTTATCTTTTTATTGCTTTATTTCATTCCTAGTTGTTTCTTTTTGTTTCATTCTTTGTTCATTGCTAAGGGACTAACAATATTTAAGTTTGGGGGTATAATAAGTGCTGAAATATGCACATTTCAACCCTTGAACTTGAGTATATTATGACCTTATTCTATCTTACTTTCCTGTTTTAGTCTTATTTTACGTTTTTCCCCTTTTAAGGTGCATAAGATTGAAATGAGCTAACTCAGTTGAATTAGAGCCTTGGGAAAATCAACCAAAGTCGTGGTGGGAAGATGGAGCAAAATGGAAGCAAAAGATGCAAAAATTTCCTCTATGATCGATCGAACTTTCAAGTGTGATTGATCGTACTTTGATCGATCGAACCTTTATATGATCGATCGAACCAACCCTGTGATCGATCGAACTGTATCAAAAATTGTGCAAAACAGAATTCAAGCCTGATTTCAGGGGAGCTCATGGTGCAATAATTTGGAAGTCCTAATGCACGAGGTCTGACCATTTGGGGTGCCATTTGAGCCACCTATATAAAGAAATTAGCCCTTTTTGGCTAAGGGTTGGACATTTTGGCAAATGATTAGTGAGGATTAGATACATTTAGAGACAATTCCTCTTTAGTTCATACACACACTCTCTCTCTAGGGTTTCAACCAAAGAAGAAGAAGAAGAAGGATAGTCAAGTTTGGAGATGATTTATGAAGCATCATTGATGACATCCACCACTTCCATGAGTGGCTAAATCTTCACTTAGGGATTGGATGAGCCCTAAGCATGTGTAAATAAACTCCTGTCTTTCAATTTTTGGGGGAATTATTATGTTGTAATTAGTGCTATGGTTTAGTCTAATGAAACTTGGTTGTATCAAGGTTTTGATTAATTCTTCCTATTGATTCTTTATATTGGTTGCATGTTATCTTATGTGTAATTAAATAAGGATTAATCTGTAATGACCTTGATTTTTCCCATTTTTTATTTTTTTTTGGGACTTTTTGATTTCTTTGGGTTTATTTTCGTTTTGTCTCGTTTTGCATGTCGGACACCGTGGAGTGTGCCGGGTGTGTCCTGAGAGTAGTTGGAGTATTTGCTTGAGTTCAGGACTCTTAAAAATGTATTGGTTACCATTTTGGCATTTTTTGATTTCACGGGCCTGGAGGTCCCAAGTGGGACCCGTTATCAGGATTGTTATGCACGGAGGTCATGTCACGGGTCCATTGTATTTCATGCATTTTTAAATTCTGCATATTTATATGATTGTATGTTAAATTATGTGGTTACAAATTGATTGGTATAAATATATATTGTGATGTTTTCAATTTTTCAACCTTTTTCATTTTTCAGGAATTTTGTCGCCGCAAGGGCATTTTCGTCTTTTCACGTTTAGCGTATGGGATTTTGGTTGGGATTCATTTGCGTCATGTTTAATTTATTTAAGGTGTTATATATATGGTTATGATTTAATGGGTGTATATGTGTTGTGTGTGGTGCAAATTTAAGCAAAAAGAAAAAGGGAAAATAAAAGAAAATGGGTGGGACCCACTTTACCCATTTTAGTGAGTTAGAGACCACTTTTTGGGTCTCATTTCTCACTCTCCCGCTGGCTCTCTCTCTCCTCTCCCTTTCTTGATTTTTCTTTTTTCTTTTGAACCCAATCTTCAATCCAAGATCTCTCCTTCATCACTTAATCATTTTGGGTGCTGTTTGCGGCAAATTAAAGAGCGTATCGAGGGCTTCAAATTGATCGGAGCCAATCTTCATTTGGTCACCATATGGGGGATCTCTAGAATCCTAGGGTTTGAAACAAATTGGGGATTTTGCATCACTTTATGGTAGGGGTTTCTAATCTACACTTTTCTTGTACTTTTGTGAGTTTCCCTACTCGAATTGTAGTTAAGCATGCTTAGATTAAGTTGGTTGCTTCCTTAGATGATCTAATTGAGTGTATGAAACATGTGATTATGTGAAATTGTTGGTTTACCTGAAAAACATGATAAAGGTTAAGTTTTAATGCCCAGAGTGTATAAAGATTGCTAGCTATGATGTTTAGAAAGTATGCCTAATTGTATTGT